ACATATTTTATGAAGGAAACAAAGGGGAAACATTAATTCATGAAAAATGTTGCCCTTCCAAATTGATTTTTCCGCTAAATGAAAGAGACCGGTCTTCTAGTATTTAGTCCTTTGCTTTGCCCTCATAAGATGAGTTTTACTGGAATCAGCAACATCGAAAACAAGAATGCATGGGTTCAGGAAAATGACTACTGAAAGTTATACCAGTCTCTCATTTGTATTTTCTCATTGATGTAATCAGAATGTTGGAACGTTGAAAGAGGAGCTCGATCTCATTGTCCCGCAGCTTGAGGAAATGCAAAAAACAAAAAGTGATAGAAAGAACAAATTTCTTGAAGTTTTAGGGCAAATACAGAAGATCTCTGCTGAGATTGGGCACTCCAATGATTATCCATTGGAGAGGGCAATGGATGAATCTGACCTATCCATTCGAAAGCTTGAATACCTGTACAGAAAGCTCGAGTCACTTCAAAAGGAGAAGGTTATTATTCCTTGAGCAACTGATTGATTTCTAGAAATATATAATATTTGCTTCTTCTCTTTTTTGGTGATAAATTATGCTCAAGTTTTTCATCCTTGCAGGCTGATCGCCTGAAGCTGGTGTTGGACCACTTGAATACTTTAGATTCACTATGCGCAGTCCTCGGTGTAGATTTTAAACAAACTGTTCGTGAGATACACCCTAGTCTAGATAAAACTCAGGGATCGAATGTTGGCGATGAAGCAATTGAAGACCTGGCATCAGCAATAGAGAGATTCAGAGCAGTTAAGCTTCAAAGAATGCAGAAGGTAAGCGAAGTGATTGAAAAAACCTGTTAACTTATAATGATTATGTAACTAAAATTCCTAGCTGGTGTAGCTCCAAGATCTTGCAACTAGTATGTTTGAGATGTGGAATCTGATGGATACACCGATTGAAGAGCAACAGAAATTTCAGCATGTAACGTGTAATATTACTGCATTAGAACATGAAAGAACAGAGCCCAACTCCCTTTCTGCAGACTTCATCAATTATGTAACTCTCTAAACTCAAAGGAAGAATAAATTTAAGATTTTAGTTTTCTTTTCCTTATTTTCTTGGTTTATTAGTATAATGGCTATGAAGCAATTATATCCATTGTTTAGGTGGAAGCAGAAGTTGTGAAGCTTGAAAAGCTGAAAGCGAGTAAAATGAAAGAGCTCGTGCTGAAGAAGAAGACAGAGTTGGAGGATCTGCGACGCCGGACTCATTTGGTCGAAAAAGAAGATATTAATAGAGAGGTAGAAGCTATTGAATGTGGTAAGAATATGATAATTAGGCAATTGGTGATTGTACCTCTTATTCTATGCGGTTAATTGCGGAGTGCGGACAGAACCCTGTAGTTTTATTGTTGCTGAAAAACCCTCTCTACTATCGCTCAATTGCGGATAGATCCCCTGAGTGAAATTTTTGTAGAACTTTTACCTCGGGAAATCTATTTGTAAAAAAAATTAGTGTTTTCTTTCTTTGAGGGTAAAGAGTTAAAAAGATTCACTTGGGTGGTCTATCTTCAACAATAGAAATTCAGGGGGTCTATCCACAATTGGGTGATAGGGTAGGGGATCTAGCCACGTTAACCCTATTCTACATTCCTAATATTGAAATTCTTCATGTTACAGGTGCTGTTGACCCTGCCTTGGCCCTGGAGCAGATTGAATTCAAAATATCAACTATCAAAGAAGAAGCTTTCAGCAGAAAAGACATTCTTGAAAGGGTAGAGAGATGGCTGGTTGCCTGTGAGGAAGAATCCTGGCTCGAAGAGTACAACAGGGTTGGGCATTAGATCTCATTGTTTCAATCACAATCTCATCTTTCTGAAGCTAATTCCATTTTTTTCCGTTTGGTTTGTTTAGGATGAGAAGCGATACAATGCTGGGAGAGGTACTCATCTTAACCTTAAGCGAGCTGAAAAGGCCCGTGCTGCAGTCAGCAAGATTCCAGGTTGGTAGTTGGAGAATTTTGAATTTTATCAAGCAGTTCGCAATTTTTAATCGTAAGCTAAGTTGCTGAATCCTTATTTCGAATGAAGATCCATACTGTCGCCACAATAAAATAAAAATTGTTCGAGCTACAATAAACAAAGTTGACTGTCATGTTTCTTTCCTAAGTAGAAGAATTCAGATGCATAGATAGTTGTCTGTCAACTGATTGATTATATTCTAGAGCACAGATTTGGGTCATGATGGCTTGTGTCATTGAGATTTATTAATAATGTTTCTACTCTATGTTAACTCCTAATTAGTATACTGCCTATTACCTGCATGCTGCGCCTATCTTTTTAAGATCATAACATGGAGGAGCATCTAAGGTCTTCTAAAGGGTACTTGATTTCTGTTTATAAAGCATTTTAGAGTTGTAGGTACTGTTGGTCATAACAAATATGCTATTCTCAACTAGGACTACTAATTAGAAAAGGAAAATTTCAGTAAGTTTTCAATATATTTCATCCATATTTTTGTGAAACTTTGTATGGATAGTTCGCTGACCTTTTTTAATAAGCAGCAACCGTCGAAACTTTAATCTCCAGAATCACAGCATGGGAAAAGGAAAGAGGCCTGGAGTTTACTTATGATGGTGTAAGGGTTACTCGTCACAGTTTGTTTTTTTCTTATGTCAATCTTTTAAAAATGGCTGAACTATATTACTTGTTCTTGTCCCATGTATTTTTACCCTACAGGCTGGCCTTTTGTCAATGCTGGAAGAATATACCACTTTGAGGCAGGAGAAAGAGCAAGAACGCAAAAGGCAAAGGGTATCGCATTCGCATTTCAAATATCAGTTCAAATGAGTTGCTGGACCTAATACCATACAAATATCAACTTTTCAGGATCAAAAGCGACTCCAAGGCCAGCTTATTGCCGAACAAGAAGTACTTTTTGGATCTAAACCGAGTCCTTCAAAACCGCAAAGCTCGAAAAAGATGCTTAGAAATTTGACTATGGGATATAATAGAAGGCAGTCTCTCGGTGGAGCACCATTGCAAAGTGCAAAGGATGAAGTGCAAAAACCCAGGCCTATGTCAGCTAGAAAGGCTGATGGTACTGCCTCTCCTTATGCTGGTTTGTTTTCTTTAACACCTTCCTATTGCTCCAATCAGGAGGCTTTACAGGATAAATAAGATTTTGTTGATATCTCAATCTCAACTGTCTCCTCAAATAGGTTAATTTGAAGACCTTTAGAATTGTTGCAGAAACTTCAGAAAAAGTTATGAAATAGATCTAAAATAGTCACTACCTTGTTTTATTGAACATGAATAAGTAAAGGTAAAAAACATGGAGCGTAGCAGTGCGATTCAGCAAATAAGTTCTATACTCCTATTTTTCCAAGTTTTCCTTGAACATGAATTTGTGTAGATGGTTTTGTCATATGCAATGGAAAATCACTAAATGCACCAGTTAGGGGTTAAGAAAAAATATAAAATTATAAATTACGGAGTGAGGACTAGAGATAGGCTCAAGAGAACTTTAGAAGCATTGAGAAGAATATGATAGTGGTTACTTGATGGAGGAAATAATCCTTAACAACACTGAATGGAAGTCCTACAATTCATGTAGCCGACCCCAAAAATTTTGGAGTAAATTCCTCCTTGATGTAAATTATAAGGTTATGACTACTGAAGCAAGGAGAACTAGAGGTAGGTCTAGGAAAACTTGATTAGAAGCATTAGGGACATGACATTTGTTAACTTAAATGAGGAGATAACACATAATAGAACTAAGGATTTATGTAGTCAACCCTAAAAGTTTGAAATAAGAAATAAGGATTTTGTTGCTGTACATTCATTCATAATCAATAGTGATGCTCATGAATGCGAATGATCCTTATATTCTAGTATTCAGCATTTTACAATGAAGATGTTTGCAGGTAGGAAAGACCAAGATGCTGCTAGCTTTTTGTCTAAAGAATTTTCCTTCAATGCCATAAATGCTCATGAACCAGAAGCTCCTCGGAAACCCTTTGCTCCCTTAGTCGCAGAAAATCATATTGATGGAGAAGACGAGAACATGACTCCCAAAACAACGCTGACAGCTCCAAAGACTCCAACAACAGTTTGTGCACCGATGCAGATGGCCTCGACTCCTGCACCAGCCACTGACATAGCAACAAGGGAGCGTTCATTTGAGGAGAGGAGGCTAGCAGTGCTAATGAGAGGATAGAGAAGATGGATACTCTACTGCAAAGTTTTTCTTGGTGCGAGGAGAGAATTTTTGCAGGAGATGTTTTTTTGTTCAATGTTTTCTAGTAAACTGGAAAAGAACCAGAATGTAGCATGTTGTACAAATTTATAATCTTTTGGTTCTAGCAGAGGAGCAAATCATGCTGATTTGATTGGATACTAATCAAATGCAACCAGATCCTCTGGTTATGAAATTGGTTTTGGTCAGATTGGGTTTGTTTAGGTCGGATTGGACTGATTTGAGTAAGGAAGAAGCTATATGGTCATATATTGTTAAGCAAACATATGATAGAATCACAAATATGAATGAGAAAATACAGAATAACTAAACTTTGGGGGTCTTTTACGTATTAATTGAACAGAATTAAACTTGAGGAGTCTATTGGGGGGTAGTTTTTAGGGAGATCATACTAATGGGTTTTACAGGACCTATTTCAAATAATTAAAGTTTGGGGGACCAATACCTCCAAAACACTAAACTTTTTTCTTATGGAACAAAATCACTAATAAGGTTGGCAAAATCAGCATAAGTCCTGCTGTGTCACTGAATGTTTCTCTCAAGAAAAAGTAAAAGTTTCCATTGTTAATGTACTTCACAAACCAATCGTTAACAAATGGCAGGAATTAGTAAGGTTCTTACTGTAGCAAAAAGTGTTTTGGTTGATGCACCACCTACCAAATGTGCCCAAATATTATGGTTTTTTTTAAGGAAAAAAGTAGATATCAAGTATCCCAAAATTTTGAAAGTTTGGAGTATAATAAACAACATTTAGAGACACAACATGAGATATTGCGCATATAATAGATACAGCAAACTGAGATATTACTCTGCATATCATAGATACAGCAAACCCAGCTATAACTTTGTCCCTTCAACTTTTGAATTCTATCCTCCAAAATGAATCACATGCAATAACAGTTTGGAGCATGTGTTACTTAAAATTGTTACATATACAATGAAAAGTTTGAGAAGAGAATCAATTCTCAAATTATCGTTCAGACACCAAATGCAGCATAATTAGATAATTGTCGATAACATGGGATCTGCCTCTGTAGTGAGAACCCTTCAGGTAACCAGTGACTGTACAAGCACACATGTGTGTGAATAAAATTGAAAGGCGATAAGAGAGATGCAGACTCTATGAATCAAAAAGAGAATGGCTTCATATAGACATCAAATGGTTCATTTGAGGTCAGTTGTGGTTCCTGCAAGGGCAAAAAAAAAAGGATTAGTTGATAACCCTCTCTTTCTCTGAATGTAATATGTTGGTTTATAGGAATGAAACCATTACGTCGTATCATTTGTCCAAGAACTATGAAAATGGAATCCGTAGTGGAAACCTTATTGCCTCAATAGAAAGGTGTGTGCATGCTGCACGTACTTTGCATCGTGGTCAGCGAATGACTTCAATGTCTCTATTTATTCAATAAAACTTCAAACAGTAGGAATGAAGAATTATTCACAGAAATAAGTTCAAAGTATAGCTTGGTTGCAATGCTTTTTTCGTGTTCTCTCTCTTTTGCCTTCGTTTTCAGATACACGATGGATTGAGAATGACGTGGTTTATTGCATCAAATTCAAATTGTTAAAATGGATGAGTGTTTAGAGTCTTATATGATTGTACAATACCTATGAAATTGAAGAGAGAATTCTATAGGATTGCTATAAGACCAACAAGGTTTATATGGATCAGAATGTTGGGCAATTAAGAAAACAACAATACAAAGAATTGAGTGCAGCAGAGATGAGAATGCTACGATGGACTTGTGGCTATGGACTTGTCAATACACAATTATGGATAGGATAAGAAATAAATGCATCCACAGGAGGTTAGACATCCACAGGAGGTTAGATGTTGCTCCTTTTAAGGATAAAATGAGAGAGAATCAACTGAGATGGTTCAGTCATGTGCAGTGTATGACACTAATGCACCAGTTAAAAGAAATAGTCAAATTATAGTTAACGGGAAAAGGAGTAGTAACAGGCTAACAGCACTTGGTTGGTAGCACTTTAGAAGAATATGATAAGTTGATAACAACTTACCTTAGTGGAGGAGACATCAATTAATCATATCATACTCCCTTTAAAAGAGGAAGTTGTGGAAAAACTATGGACTACATTACCCCTATTCTTTTTTGATATTATAGTTTAATCATAATTAAACTAAAGTAATTATTATTGTTAATTTATTATATTATAAATTTATATGCCACTTCAAGTTTGTCTAACTTGGTTCCTAAAACTTCCAATGTTATTGTAAAACTCTACATCATATTAATTATTATTAATGTATAATAATATATTAATAGGCAAATTACATGCTAATAAATTATTTATGGAAAGAGTAGAAAAGATAGAATTGTTCTAAAAGTGTACCCTGACACTCATATAAGAAAATTACAAAAACTTTCTATGAACTATATTACCCCTAATCTTTTTTGATATTACATTCTAATCCTAACTAAACTAAATTAATTATTATTATTATTAATTAATTATATTATATGTCATTTTAAGTTTGTCTAACTTGGTCCCTAAAACTTTCAATTTTATTGTAAAACACTACATTATATTAATTATTACTAATGTATAATAATATATTAATAGGCAAATTGCATGTTGATAAATTATTTATGGAAAGAGTAGAAAATATAGAATTATCCTAGAATTATACCATGACACTCATATAGGAAAATTACAAAGAGTATTCTTGCATCTAGGTAACAAGATAGAAGGTACAAACATGCAATTTTAAAAAATATTAAGATATTTAAGTGCAACAAGATACAAGTGGAGGTATATAACTTTCATAAATTATAAAGCATTTAAGTTAAATAAAGTCTATAAAGATTTAAAACATTTGCTAACCACAAATAATTGTATGTGATCCTATTGATAAATAATATTCATCATATAATATGAGGCCAGAGGCTTAGCTTATATTTATATAGTAGAGGAGGTGTGGAAAATTAAAGCACCATATTTTAAATAATCCCGAGATTTTGAATTATTTCCTGAAATTATATACATTGCTTAGAAAACTTTAGAAGAGGCTTTCGAAGAACTACTACAAAGTGTTGGACGTCAAATAAATATTAGACAACTAAAATCTATGATATCAGATTGCAGAAATCGGGGATATATAAAAAATATCGGGTGTCATATGAGATAATTTTCAGGCATAATATAACATTGTAAGCTATAATATAATTTTCATGCATAATATAACATTGTAAGCTATAATCTAACATATTCATGAATTTTAAATATAAGAATTTGCATGAAAATATATGCTTAAAATATGGGAGAGCCAAAAGTGGAGAAATTTGGGAGACGAATTGTGACTTTTGTGGCTTTCGTGGGTATCGCTTTTGGTTCCCAAACATAACCCAAACCCTAGCCCATAATCAAATTAAAAATGACTCGAACCCTAGCCCATAATCAAATTAAAAATGACTCGATTTTATCGATATCTTCAATGGGATGTATTGGCCAATATTTTTTATAACAATCGCTATATTAGGAAAAAAATCCCCAAAGAAAACAATACAAAACCATAAATATTATCGAGTAAGGTCTTTAACCTGATATATTGGCCAATATAGCGATATATCAGCCGATATTTAATACATTGCCTGTAAGAGCAATATTTAAAGATAATTTAGATATAAGTTCCTTGATTTTAGATCTCCAATAATTCTATATTATTCCCTCAAAAATTTGAAATTGCTTATAATTTAAAGGACTAATATTAAATTATTAGAAATTTGAGGGGTAAAAATGTGAACAAGCCAAATTTTAAAGTGATAATTTTTTTAAAAACTCTCTCAGCTATGAGGATTGTCTCAAAAAACCACTCAATTGATTTAATTTGGCAAAACATCCTAGCTGTGAGGGTGTTGTAGATAACCTCTCTTAACTTTGGTGCGATTTTAGAAAACACCCCTCGACTATAGCGTGTCTCTTAAAAATTCCCCTGATCTTTTACACTTCTCTCAACAAAACCCTTTAATGTGGTTACTTGAATATATAATTTGGAGAAAATACCCTCTTGAAGAAAGCTATTTTAGTTAAAAAACTCTCAAGCTATAATAAAAGGATCACGACCAATTTATAATTCTTTTTCCTTCTATATCTCCTATTTTTCTTTAATCTAGCAAAAGTCAAGCTAATTCTTTTATGGTTGGGGGATATTTTGGTCTTTCCAAATCAAATACTTGTCATATAATAGATTAGACTCAATGATATTAGTTACGAGCGGTTAAGTGAGAAAAGTTTATAGGATTAAATCAAAAAATTGAAGTTGAGAAAGATTATCAGTTGAGAAAGATTATCTACAACACCCCAAATTTGACGAAGATTTACTCAGTTTAATTTTTGTGGCCAAATGCCCAAGTTTGAAGTTTGTCACACGTCCTTTTAGTTTCCTACTAACTTGGTGACTGGATGGGGTAGGGGTCAGTTCACCCATGCCCATGGTTTATTGGTAAGGGTGGAGGGCACAAACTCGGGCATTGACTCGGGGATCCTTCTGCCTTACTAGGTTTCCCTCATATCCCAAAAAAAAAATTTAAGGGGGATTTTTGACATTACCCCCCATAGCTAAGAGGGCGTTTTCTAAAATTAACCCTTAAAACTCAACTTAAGGCACATGTGACATCAATCTTATAAAAGTAGATTTTATAGCAAGTATATCACTCTATGAACTGATTTGGATTATGTGTCCTAAGATTTATCCTATACATCAACTCTGAAAATCTTTTGCTACAAGAATCTCTAAAAAAATTAATCTTTATTAGTGAAGGGTATGTGATCCTTCTGATTCACCTTGTCTTTCATGATTTATAATAAATTATTTGACAAAATATATTAAATTATTTATTTTTATAGTTCTCACCTTCTTATAAGTTTATGAAACACGTAGCTTGGATATGAGTATTGTTACGGATAATAAATTCTTATAACTCTTAACCTAAATTTTTGGATGTTGTTTGACATTGGATAGATCTAAATTATTTGTTAAAATACAATCCATAGTGCATAATATGTATAAATCATTCTCATATTATATTTTATACTTTTCTGAAACTAGAGAGTAATCGTTTTGACAAATCAATTAATTAGTTAGGAAGATGTAGAAAGACTACAATATCAAATTTTAGAATTGATCATATAATTTATGTTTTCTTTATGATTGAATTTACACATTCTGACGAAAAAAATTCTAGAAAAAAAGTTTTTAAATATCTATAATATTTGGTCACCAGATAAACAATAGGTGAAAGTAAACAAGTGAAAGTGATTTCTTTATAGTTAAATAAAATCCTATATGACCACATGAAACGTACCATTTTATTTTGATGAATTCAAGAATTTATTTTTATCATTAATAATAATAGTTTTTTTTATATTGGTCCCTTACATCATTAATATTTTGAAATTAGATCTTCAAATCATTAAATTGCTATTAAGTCATTAAGATTTCAAGACTTTTTTGTGGAAGGCAAAATGTTAAAACCAACAAGATATTATACGTAGAAATATCCAAAAAAGTTAATATATTATGATAATCATAAACTTTTTTTGCAAACATGTTATAGTAAATAAATAAACTTAAAATAAAGGACAAAATTTTAAAAACAACCGTTTTTCAATATTAAAAAGCAAAATCGACCATTTAAAAAAATTCAGCAAAATCGATCTTTTTAGTGAAAAAGGGTCAATTTTGCAGTTTTCCAACTGCACAGGACTACTAATCCCGTGCAGTTCTCCCAAAAACCCAGCTGTCACCACGTTGAGCTCTCTCCAACTTCCCTCCGCGTCTCCGCCTACATCCCTTCATCCAGAAGCGATCATAACCTTCTTCCTCTCCTTCCCGACTTTCATATATTCAAACAAAATTCCACTCAAGAATAATCCAAAATCAACGCAAAATAAAAATGCAGTTAATGATCAGATTAATTACTTCTAGAATTATTAGATCACCCCCGTCATGTCCTCTGTCATCGAGTGCCTCTTCTGTCTGGGCTTCACCCGTTGGGCCTTCTGCCACTGCGACAACGCCTCCTGGCCCACCGCCGCATCCCCCGCCTTCTCCCCCATCCCTCACGCCGTCCGTGTCGTCCTCGACATCTACGAGCCCAACTTTTCCAGCCCTAAGTGGGCCCCGTCCCCCAACGGATACCTCATGGACCCGACCGTCGTCCTCAAACGCGCTGCCTACTCCGACGATGGGTTTGTCCACCGCGGGCTGCTGAAGGCGACGATTTGGGTGCTGAATCGGGAGGCGGAGATGATTGCGAGGGCGTTGGAGGAGTGTGGGGATGGGTATAAGCTTGTGTTTGTCGGGCACTCGCTGGGTGTTGGCATGGCGGCGATTGGGGGAGGGGTTGGGGGAGGCGAAGTTTGGAGAGGAGAGTGTGTGAAGTGGTGACGGTTGGGTTTTGGGGAGAACTGCACGTAGTCCCGTGCAGTTGGAAAACTGCAAAATCGATCCTTTTTCACTGAAAATGTAAGTTTTGCTGAAATTTTTTTTAAATGGTCGATTTTGCTTATTAATATTGAAAAACGGTCGTTTTTAGATATTTGCCCATGTGCAGTGCACGTGCATTCCACCTAGTAGAACTAAATGGAGTCATTATGTAGCTGAGACCCAAAGTTTTTTCTTTTTTCCTTTTTTTTTGGAGTTGGGGTGGGGTTGCCTTGGTGAAGTCCTGTGCATGTACTTTGACGGTATCAACTATGTTTATAGATAAGACAAGGCTCTATCTTCAAACCCCAGGTAATAGTTAAATTTAACTTGAACGGAAAAATGCATAAAGATTAATAGTAAAAAGTACCTGTCTCAACCCACCACCTACGCTTCCTCCAGTCAAAAGCATGGTCAAGAGAGATGTCACAGGACCTCCGCCCATTGAGTCCCCAGTGCTTCTTATGGTAGACCTCATTGAATTTAGGATGCTTCCATATGTGGCTCCATGGCCTCGCTCAATAGCTTGGATGAAGCAGAAAGTCATGGCTCCCGTTGATGTTATTTTTGAGAGAGCCTGCTCATTTGGTACACCAAAGTTTTCAAAAACTACAGGAATAAAAAAAATTTAATGAAGGTTTGGAATATGTAGTGACTACAATGCATGTGTGACTGTAAGCAATGAGAGAGTCTTCTTAGTTCAAGCTTATAGCACACTAAGATTAGGAGACAAAATTAAGGTCCTGCTGAGCCATTAAACATCAAGATAATTAATTATATAATGTCCCCTATTCGATCAAATTTTGTGTGATCTCCCTATAAGGACTGTTTTCAACCATTTCAATTCAAGTCGGTTTGAATTAACTCATATCTGGAAACCGGAGGTTAACCTGCTGGAAAAAAACATAAATAAAATTGGGATCTCTCTTTTATATTCTTAGAAGAGAAGATTTGCTTGCTATTACTAACTTCTTAAAACTGTAGTTCTTGTGAGATAGAAGACAAAAAATATATTCTTTCCAGTCAATTTAGCCTTCCAAAATTGGTGGTATCTTTTTGAAAGACAACAGAAAGTAAAAGATTGGAGAATGAGGAAGAACATACTCAAGTGAGAACATACTAGATAATGAGATAGTAGGAATCCCTGAATGTCAAAAGAACAAAAAAGAACTAAGGATTTCTTCCCGAAATTCCCAGAGCTTCAGGCATTGCCTATTTGACAAAATTGTCTGCAGGCTCTTTTTCGGAGTTTATGAAATATATTCAATGCAAATTTGAGCAATTGCAAAAGTAGTGAAGGATTACCGAAGTATCAGCAGAGGTTTGATCATCATCACAACCACTCAAAGAAATTGCTTCTCCACCACTTGTACCTTTCCACATACCAGATAGCGGTCGATGGTCCTCCCATACATATTGCCCAGTCCTACATAAATGATATCAAACACCCGCCACTAATGGTACAATAATACCTTTCAATAAATGCATGCAAGTCAAGGAAATGTAACCATTGAAGCCGATTTTTCTCTATGCATAGATATGAAAGTTACCTTTACAAGAAAAACAATATACTTAGATTTTCCTTTTTTATAGTTTCAAATCGCCAACTTAATTTAATTAATCCACCTGGACCTCTACACTCAGAATAGAAAACTTTACCCTCCTTTATCTACTGTATGGTCCATCCAGCTAAAGTGGGAAGAAACAAATCCATTTATGTTCCCAACTCCACCCCAGAACTGATGAAACTGAAAACCAACTAACCAAGAGATGTAATTATAAAAAGGGTCAATCGCACATAGACCCCCTGTGCTATCACCATTGAACTTACTACCCATGGAGTTCTATTGCCAATAGAGCACCTGAAAGAGTTCTCTCGTTGCAAATAGACCCCTTGAGTGAAAAATTATTGTAGCAGATAGACCCCCCTGAAAAAGGGTCAAAAGAATTCCATTAAGGAGGTTTATCTGCAACAGTAGAACTACATAGGCAATAAGTTCAAATTGGAGATAGTACATGGGGGTCTATCCGCAATTAACCCTTTAAAAAATTATGAATTGTAAAGAAAACATTCGTTCTTGCATGACATTACCTTTAAGGAATAACATGAACAAAGTGACCCGGACATATTCAAGAGCAGAACATAGGCAAACGATGCTGATTAGGCAGAGAAAATAGCTGAAACTACATACTATCATCTAACACGAGTGCACATACTCCTGTTTTCTTTATTCAAGTTAACAGACTACTCTCTTCTGTGTTTGGTAAGCAGCAAGGGTGTTGATTAGGCAGAGAAAATAGCTGAAACTACATACTATCATCTAACATGAGTGCACATACTCCTGTTTTCTTTATTCAAGTTAACAGACTACTCTCTTCTGTGTTTGGTAAGCAGCAAGTTCTTGGCTTGTTGCTCGAGATACAGCATATACCAAAAGTCCTACTATAATATAACTCATCAAAAGAATTCTTTCCTGTTTTGCCAAAAGACCTGGTATAATATAACTCATCAAAAGAATTATTTCCTGTTTTAGTAAATCTCAGCCTGTCAACCTATAGGATAATCAAACTCATATTTTCTGTATATCCACCCAACAGATGACTCTGCAATAATCCCCATGTAATACCT